GTAGAATGAGCGGACAGCTGAATCAGTGACGCGCAGTTTAATCAGGGTAGAAAGATTTCGGGAGGTAAAACCAGCATTTTTCTCCCAAGATGATTTAGAGAACAGTCTACATAACATAAGAAACAGAGCAATGGAGCTGATTTCACGGGCTCCAATAGTTTCGTCCTGTAGTGAACATGTGATGGTCAAGTTAGGAAAAATGCTATACTATAAGTGTATATCCATTTGCTTTGTCCACCTGACTCGATCGCCATTTTTTCGCAATATTTCGGCATGAGATTACTCAACTCAAAGTCAGGATTGTAACCCTGTTTAAAATCTCTGAGGTATCATGATAAGACAGTGAAATACAACCAAATTGATTTGGTTTGAACGAGAAACTCCACTGAATCCAGTTGGATCTGTCGTTCATGTTATTCTTCTTCAGCTACACAGTGTACCAATTTGAAAAAAACTCCAAAATTACTGCCTCCCGTGGTGTTCCGAGGTCATTTTCTATTCTGGTACAGGATACATTATCCTCGAACCCGAACAAAATAGCAGTTTCCCCCTACCCAGGATTTAAACTAAGTTATGTCTGATTACTAGTGACTGCTACAGCCTTTGTGCAATGAGATAAAAACAAAAAAACTTCACACACATAAGGAACTAAACAAGGGGCAGCAAAGGTTTTCATTTTCAAGGCTTCTACGAATCGAACTAGGTTAAACGGAAATCAGCACCACATTTACACACATATACGATCGTATGTTTCACAAACAACTGTTCAGCACTGCGCTTGCCCCTACCTCTGTTCTGAGTGAGTGGAAAAGGGTACCCTTTGCATGAATCTTGTTTTTAAAGCTCCTCAACTGAAAAGAGGACGTCTAGATTGCATTTTAGACAAAATGAGAAGTGACGATCTGAACCAACATATGTTCCGAAAATAGCATATATTGTGACCTTGATCTAGATAGAATTACTTAAGGTCGGTCCGGAGTGCTAGCATTGCACACACTCTCAGAACTGCGTTTACTCACGGTAACCCATGCATGAATGAAGTGCCGTTTCATTAGAACTGTAGGGTTAGTAGTTTAGCTGAGATAAGGGCAACGCTGCTGGGACTGTAAATACTATCGTGTAGTATATAAATACAAGTGTACTATCTGCATCGATATTGAATAGAGAAGAAAACCGAAATCAGTGAAGACAGGAAAATCCCCACAACTGTCCCCCTAGCGAAGATAGTGAGGTCACTAACGCACGCGAAAAAGGTCATTTCTGAATCATCCTAATCGTCATCAGGGATAGCAGCATTGGTTCTCACGCTTCACTGGCGCACAACCACAAAGTTCATTTAACTGTATTTTCATAGAAGAAACTACTCACAAGGTTGCTGAAAATTCTTCGACAACCCACGACCGGTTTCGCCCTACTTCGGGCCCATCAGGTAGGCGCAGTCCCCGAGTTTCCGTCAACCTTATGATCTACTTGAACCCAAATTGCACTGTTTTCGAGAAATACACTCATTTGCAAATCAATTCGGTTTTCACGGGAGACTCCATTGAATCTCTCGTTTATGATGTCCTCCAACCTTGTCAGTAGTTTCCTTTATAATATACTGTGATATCTCGAATATCGTGCCAACTGAATCACGAGGCGGCCTGTCTGCAGCACATTCAGTTGGAGGACATCATAAACGAGAGATTCAATTGAGTTTCCCGTGAAAACCGAATTGATTTGCAAACGATTCATTTAACCGTAGTTAGAACTCCAAGTGAAAAAGACTGGGCGAAGTAGAGACCCCGTGCTAGCCTTAGAATGAGGAGAAAAGAGTGTGTGAGGGAAAGGAACTGGCGAAAAACCTCGGATGCAAGGTTGACTGAAGCTTCAGGACAGGTTAATATTCCCATCGGACTTTTTGGCAAGTCACGAGTGGATGCACTACGTGTGCAAGTGGTAAAATTATCACCTGGTTACGCTTTGTTTGCAGGGAAGTGCACGAGTTCATTCATTCTCAAAACCATATCAACCCAAAATGTTTCAACTGCTTCTTAGTGTGCGAGAGTAAAACACGAGGTATACTTTTATTCGAGGGCTAGGAGGGGGAGTTTTTCGAACAGGTTTTAGTGAAACGTGGATGGATCAAACGACTAAACAAACACTTAACGGCTAAATGTTTGCGAGAGAAATTAAAATAATTTGAAGCAAACTGAGAGAAACATTAACGGAAACGGGAGTACATAGTTCCTCCTTTCAGGTCAACATTAAATCTGAACATCATTGGACTTTGTAAGTTTTTATCACCACCTGACATGTAACACCAACCTTCCCAAAGTCACTGTCAAGCTGTAAACAAAATATTTGGCCTCTAACATGCTACCTACTGCACTCTATGTCCAGGTCTTCTCGTGCACCTTTCTCATCAGTACTTTGAGCTGTTGTACTAGGATGCACCATTTGGGCCCGCATGCACGTTGTAAACAAGAATTCTATTTTCATAATGATTCTCGCAGGTGAGATGTTGTCCTGGTCCTTTGCTGATTCTCTCCGTATCTGTTCCTCACATTTCACCCACATCAGTCAGGCGATTTGGTTTCTATGGCATATTGTGCGCATTTATTTTCGAATCCGAAACCGTCATTGTGCTTAGACAACTAGAACAGAAGGGTCCCAGCAAAATAACACTAAGTGGCTCCACTAGCAGGATACTGGTTTATTGCTGTGTTATCCTCCAGGCGACAATGTCGTCTACCTAGATAACAGTAGCATAGTCACGGACATACTAAAATACGGACCTATTCATGGCACGAAACAATGGGCGAATAAATACTGGAACAGGACGCTAACAAGGCGAAAGAAGCGACAGGTCACATCATCTCAAACCAGCTAACCACGTGCAGCAAATTGGAGAATATGTGTGCCATTCTGACAGGATACCATCTGTAAATACTGTTTGTGTTTCAAGATCAAACACAGATTTCGCACTGGACCGGGACTTCTCACTTGTTTGTTTGACCAAATCGATTTGCTCACATGTCGTTGCTCAGTGGTCAGTCCGGTTGTGCATGCGCGATGACCCCCAGTGGTTTCGCTATTCCCGCTGTTGTTTCATTTACTTGTTTTTGAAAGGAGCCTCAAAACAGAGACCCAAGTCTTACAATCAGACTTATACAAGAAAAGCGTGTAACACAGATTGACGACACTAAAAAGACATTGATCTATTTGGTCCGCCTATTTCAAATCGTCGGTTGAACCGTGAACATAAAACTATAGTCAAAAGAAAATTCCATCTTACAAATACGTCCAGAAACCGCTCTACAACGAAGTGTGTACATCCAATGTACGAAAGTTTTTCATCGACCATGGTACGACTGAACGGTCCACATGTCTGCTGGATGATTCATCAGCCTGCGTTGTGCCCGAACAATGTTCGGACACAAGATTTTAGCGGGATAGAACTGAGTGAGTGGTCATAGAGCGCTTTTGCAGACTAAAAAGGTTGACCCGCCCTAACTAAACAATAATGAAAAATGAAAAGACCAAATGACTGAGGTAGAGGTCTTTGAAGGAGTCTGAACTACACCTGAAAAGCTGATGAACCGCCGACAGAGTTGCGAGGCATACCGACTGATAATTGCCACCCTACATCAGCACAAAGCAGGGTATCCAATGGATATTGACAATAACGCCCTGCGCGTAATCCTTCGAGATAAACGCGTTTGATATACACCTATTACAACTGGGGTGCCGACGCATCAGGGATGACTGGGCAAAAATCCAGTAAGTGATCCCCCGATAAGCAGGACGTAAAATGAGTTCTTCACATTCAACGAGAATACGAACAGAGGGGACTGTCTAAGATTGACTAAACCGAAAACCAGCGAGCTTGTCTCACCGACCCGACTTCCAACTAAGACTGGTGGAAGTACCATCCACGAAGTTGTTCAAGGAACGCTAGAATAGCCGTTCCCGGTGGTCTGGGATTAACGTGTTACCCGCGCAACCGGACGCAGCTCCATCCGGGCACTCTGCTCTGGGGCGAGGAACGGGACCGTTCGGAAGTTAACAGAGCTAATAGTTTTGCGCGAATCCTAACAGCGCCTGAAGACCACTGATATGAGCCTAAACAAGTCATCCCAGGAATACAGACCCCCGGACAATGCTAAGGGCTTCGCACAGTTGTGGCGCCTCTGCATCGTTGATGGTCACCACGACTTCGCTCACCACAGTAGCGAAAGTTGGCCAACCTAAGGAAGATAATCGACCAACTTCCGTTGAGAGAATTTGTAGATGTGATCAGTTTCCAGGTTCCATGAGTTGTGCAGTCTTGGGGGGCAAGTGTACCCGAACATAGTACCAATCTTCAGGTGAGAAAACGTACCGAGGCCGTCAATAAAGAACTGAATTTTTATTAGAAATACAAATTGGAGACCGGAGACCGTCAAAATCAGAAACCTGAGAAGAGTACAATTTATTTGTCGGTTTCCGAGTTATTCGGGGTCGTAATAAAAAAACTAACCCCGGCCGAGAACCTCAGTGCGCAAGAAACAGCAAAATAAGTCTAAAGATACCGTGAAGTTTTTCGAAGTTGTGACCCTGATTGTATCACTAGGTATGCTGCTCAAGGGTAAAATGTTTGGAGAAGGCTATCGGGGGTACCATGCCTCATGATGTAGGATGTACTTACTATGCCTGCAGTTTTAGCAATGAGGCAGCATACCACACAAGTGAATAATCCCTCGCCGGTATCTCAGTCAGAGAATGCTGGGAACAAGCAGTGTAACTCCGTTAGCTTTCGAATGTGAACGCAGCCAACTCATGGGTGTTCTTAGAATGAGAAGCAGACAAGTCAACCAAGTGATGTTTGCCACAAGTTGTATAACAGCGTGCACGGTCTAGCTATATCGCCTCCAAAAGAAAACTATGGCTCACAAATGCCCTTCCATTTGGATGAGCAAATTAAGGCCGAATCCAACGCATGCACATCGTAGTCTGCACGGCAAATCCTGACAACACACTGGCTTAACAAGCTCATCTGCCCGTCGGTCGTCGGCTCGTGTGTCCATCGGGTAACCAATAGCAGCAACCGCCACAGATCAATAAATTCGGATCGATACCTGATATTTGTAACTGATTTTTACTTGCAAAAAATGTAGAATGCTCCTTATTTATAACGAAAAAAATAAGTTTGTCATAAAAATTGAGGAATTTTTCAATTTTCACGAAGCCTTCTCCGATTTTCAAGATGATGATACCCCTCTCAGATGTATCGATTTCGTAGTCCACCAATAGGGTTGTCAGTTTTTCGCCACGCCAATGCAAACCCGTGTGAACGCGGTACTGTCATAACGCTCTCGTCCCGTTTGCCAGACCGTTGCACTGTTCTGATGCGCGTCTTGTGAGACTGCCGACTGTCCAAGTGTGACCAGATTCCTCTCGCCATGCGAGTGACGCGATACCTCTGGATTAGCAATCTTCCTCCCCACACAACGGAAAGTAGCATAAAGGATGTTCTACAAAGGTACATATTTTCCTCAATGCACTGGGAATACCATAAAGTCCACCGTTGTTCCCCTATTTGACGTGTTGTGAAATTATTTTACCTGCATGCTGTTGTGAGGGGTTTTTGGAACCATAACGAAAATCGGATATACGTTTTTATTTCAGTCACGGGAAAATTCAGAATGTTCGAATCCACCCCGATGGATTATCTTACGGTGCAGTCGTCGCCTTCGTAGATACTCAGTCAGCAACGCGAGCCATTCAGAGCACTGTTAGACTGAATAAAGTCAGCCTTGCTCTACAGTACTGTGAGTCATCGGGCATTCCCGGGCGCAGTTCACAAGACCCTTTGAATACTTCGACGGGGTCATCCAAAACCACTGGGTAACTGTTAGGCCTCGTTTTTATCGTTTTTGTTAGGATGATACAGTCGTCGATTGTTCATCCTTGCGGACAACGCTCTGCGAGCATTTCTGCGGCTCGAGTTCGTCGGAAGCGGAGGAGCGGACGCAACCTTCTTGGTACATTGATATTTAACTGTTTATAACCTCTCTAGTAGCCATCGTCTTTCTGATTCCAACCAAATGGGTGAATGTACAGAGCCCAACGCTCCCAGCACTGCCTACTCTTGCCGATATCTGACTGATCAGCGTGGTCTGCTGATACGGCGGCTATCCTTACGCTCATCCGACACTAATCTGCGGGAAGGCCTTTTCCACGAATTCAAGAAGCATGGCAAGATAACTTCGGTCATTATACGTGGGCAGGCTGAAGAGCGCTATTGCATACTGACGTTCAAACGAAGTGAAGATGCTGCGCGTGCCCTAGAGGCGTCTCGTGGGAAAGTCTTTTTTGGGACAGCAATCTCAGTGTCCTTGCACGACGGCATTGGTGAGTTTATCTATTATATAACCCAATGGTTCCCCAGAGTCTGAAGATCCCGACCTTTGTCCACCTGAACATGCTCTTGATGAATACCATCCGAAGGCAACGAAGACTTTGTTCGTCGGAAATTTATGTTCCAGTACTATTACACAGGAAGAACTCAAAAATACCTTTCGAGGATATGGTGAGATAATAGTGAGTTCGAGTCAGCAAATATACATTTATTTCAGGAAATCGATATAAAAATCCAAGCCAGTCAACCCGGCACGTCGTACGCATTTGTACAGTTCAATGATATTAAGAGTGTCGTCCGTGCACTGTCAGACCAGGATTCTATCAGGGTTGGAAACAAAGTGGTTAAGCTGGGTTTCGGCAAAAGTCAACCTACGAATGTTGTTTGGCTTGACAACCTTCCTGCTGTAACGGAAGCCTTTTTGGCTCGTCAGTTCGGTCGTTACGGGCACCTGACTCACGTCGTTTTGGATCGAAAATCTTCTCGGGCCCTACTTTACTTCGATACCGTTGAAATGGCACAACGTGCGCTGAATGAAACCCGCAACAGAGCCATTGTGGGACGCAGAGTTCAAGTGGACTTCGCTGGATATGAATGTCAGGTCGCCTTCATGCGACGACTGGGTAGCCAAGAGAACCTGGGTCAGGCTTATGATGATTATCGGTATGTGTGCGTACTTTATTACTAATATCCGCCACAGAGAACGGTTGCAAGAACTTCTCGCATTATGGCCTTCCTATGGATTGCCCTTGCTTGGGCGACAAAGGTAAGTTGTGCCGCAGGCAGGCTGTTCTTGTAGTAGTCTTTACTTTCGTCTGTTACAAATTGAATATTTTGCAGCGGATTGTACATTAATTTTGTTGAAATCCAATCCTCTCACATCAACCAGCGTAACGTATTTCGTACGAGGTTGTTTCTACAAGCCACAAAACCGCGTGATATTGATTGTTTCGCGTGCCGTTCCATTCGTATGAGTCAGTTGATAGGGTGGAGTAGTCCGGTTCCACCTCGGTCGATACTTCCCGAATAGTGATATAAATAATTGGCAATTTTTCGCATGGAGCCGCCTTCAGCCTCAGAGGTATCCGAGTGTATTTCTCTACTCAAACGTCATCGTGTTGCTGACATCCTTTGGCCTGCTCTTTCCAAGGATGGCGGACTTCTCAGGCAGTGTCTGTTAAGCTTATGTGGGTCTACCTGGGGGAAAGACCTTCCCAGACAACGGGCGAATCGACAGTAGTGTTCATTTTCAAAAAGGGTGCTGTGAATGCATGTTGCGAATAGAATATCGATTCTGATTGAGCGCGAGAACAAAAGTGAATAGAGCTTTACTTGTCTAAGAATAGACGTACATAAGCTGAGAATGAAGGCGAAAAATGGTTAATACGATGATGTGAGCACAAAGAATATTCATGACATTCAACCTGGCCGTTGGATTGTGTGTAGAGAGGGATAAATTGGGTACAGGTATTGGATGAATGATTGTAAAAATCTAATGAGTAATAATGAGTGTGGTCAGGCTTCTCGATTTCTTAAAATGTAGGGCCGTGTACGCTGCTGGAGCCTGGCTAAATCAGAGATGCTAGGGTCATATGTATCTGGAGATGCAGGTGCATTGCCCGGGCACGGGGGTGAGACTGAAATATGATCGATATTATCTCCAATGTTATTGAGCGGAGGCGTGTGCAAGTCAGATAGAGGGGGTGCATGAACGCCATTGTCTTCACTGGATCAGGTACGTGTGAAATCGTTGACATGTGTCCGATGGCGGGCGGATACAGTGCTTTTCCGCCGGGAAAACGAACATGGGGGTAATGTGGATTGCAATTTATAAGCTGGACTTCCTCAGCGATGGGCTCATACTTTGAGGCACGGTCAAATCTCTTCAGTAAAACAGGTCCTGGAACAGTGAGCCAAGTTGGTATAGATAAACCACAGGATGACCGACGTTCAAACCGGAACATCCGTTCATGTGGAGTGGCATTCGTGGAGACGCAGAGAAGGGACCGTATAGAGTGGAGGGCATCTGATAGAGCCGACTCCCAGTGACAGATTTGAAGGCCTTTCGTCTTGAGTCTAAGCTGGATTGCGTTCCAGAGTGTCCCGTTGAGGCGTTCGACTTGTCCGTTTCCCTGGGGATTATAAGAAGTTCGGCCGGTGCAAACTCCCTATCATGTAGGAATGTGGACAGTTCGTCAGATATGAATGAGGAGCCACGATCCGAATGTACATATGCAGGCATGCCAAACAAAGAGAATAACTCACACAGACATTTAATAACTGTAGGCGCACATGTATCTGCGCAGGGAAAGGCAAACGGAAAACGAGAAAACTCGTCAACGATGGTAAGGAGATACCGGTTTCGAGTAACAGAAGGTAGAGGTCCTTTAAAATCGATGCTTATTCGTTCAAATGGTTGGGTCGCTTTGATGAGCATAGCGGGGGGTGGTTTGTAAAACTGCGGTTTGATGGCGGCACAAACCGTACACTGTGGTGATGTCTTTGACGTCTTGGAGAGAAAACGGCAAGTTTTTGGAAAGAACAAAGTGGT